TTTTATCAATTCTTAAGCGGCTGACTACTCTCTCTCTTATCATGCAGGTACCTTATGACATAAAAGTTTTATCAATTCTTAAGTGGCTGACTACTCTCTCTCTTATCATGCTTTATATATCATGCAGGTACCTTATGACACAAAGTTTTATCAATTCTTAAGCGGCTGACTACTCTCTCTCTTATCATGCAGGTACCTTATGACACAAAGTTTTATCAATTCTTAAGTGGCTGACTACTCTCTCTCTTATCATGCTTTATATATCATGCAGGTACCTTATGACACAAAGTTTTATCAATTCTTAAGTGGCTGACTACTCTCTCTCTTATCATGCTTTATATATCATGCAGGTACCTTATGACACAAAGTTTTATCAATTCTTAAGTGGCTGACTACTCTCTCTCTTATCATGCTTTATATATCATGCAGGTACCTTATGACACAAAGTTTTATCTTTTATCAATTCTTAAGTGGCTGACTACTCTCTCTCTCTCTCTTACATCTTTTGCACTGGATCCAGACACTTCGATCCAAGTCTTAGAGAAGAAAGCGCACGATCCAAGCATGAATACGATGTACAAAAATGCATGGATGGGGTCTTCTAGTATGTGGCCCAAGCTCTCAGGTGGTGACAGATAGTAACACAAACCACCCACTGGGTACGCTCTAGCAGGTCCACCTCCACCCACATCCTACACAAAAAAGTATCAATTCATTAGAAAAATTATCTTAAAGTCCTTTCTCACGTAGTAACATTTAATGAACACATATATCTAAATGAAAGACACTTATTCCAAAAAAAATATATATATTTACTTATTGGTAATTATATCTAACTGAGAAGCAATGATCTTGATTAAACCATGACTAAAATATGTATTTTGTAGCTTTTTAAAAACAAACAACAATCACAAGCAAAATGCATGAATCTGTAGCTTCATGAAAGTGTTAGATATCAGTTTTTTAAAGAAGTGTAAACTATAAAGCAATACAAGAATCATAAAAGATAACAAATTGATAATATAAAAACAAGGACTGTTATCATAAAACTAGTAGTACTTTAACAAAAACAAGAATATCAACAAACTTACACCCCACACACCAAGTAGGTTAACAAAGAAGTTCCCACTAAACTTTACCGCCAGCATCTGAAAAATACAAAAACAGAAACATACTGAAGGAAAAGTTGTAATTCTAATCAAATTTACACTTTAAACTACACAATTACTTCCTTTTTCTCAGTTGGTATTACACCTTAAACTACACAATTACTTCCTTTTTCTCGGTTGGTATTACACCTTAAACTACACAGTTACTTCCTCTTTCTCGGTTGGTATTACACCTTAAACTACACAATTACTTCCTTTTTCTCAGTTGGTATTACACCTTAAACTACACAGTTACTTCCTTTTTCTCAGTTGGTATTACACCTTAAACTACACAATTACTTCCTTTTTCTCAGTTGGTATTACACCTTAAACTACACAATTACTTCCTTTTTCTCAGTTGGTATTACACCTTAAACTACACAGTTACTTCCTTTTTCTCAGTTGGTATTACACTTTAAACTAAACAATTACTTCCTCTTTCTCAGTTAATATTACTTGTACAATCAATAAGGACATAAAATTTTCAATCTTTCTCAGACAATCTCTAGCTAGTGGGAGCAAACACTAGAAATGTTTTTTTAAATTATAATAAATAATTAAAAACAACGTTTTATATTTACACAATAAAAACTTTATTGAAGCCGTACGGCTTCCATTTTAAAATATCTCTCTACAAGTATATGTTTCGACGCGTTCTACGTAGATGCATATGAAGGTGCTAATTGGATATCTAAAATTTATATACACATTAATTAATCTAATTAATAGAAAACAAGAAAAACACTGATTGGCCATGATAAATTGTAGTTAGAGTAGATGCATTGTACTAGTTAGACATAATCTTCAGCTTTAGGCTTAGTAAACTTTTAGTAATGCCATTCAATTATAGAAGTTCTTACATAGTGCAGGTCATAACACATGTCAAACTAAGACGCACCTGAGATATGACATACAAGTTTGATACCAGTGCTGACTGGAGGATGATGGGAATGTTGGATGTGTAGAAAAGCTTGATTGGATAGGAGCTGTATTGTCCTCGGTAGCGGGCAGACTTGATGGGCAGATCCACTCTGAAACCCTAGATAAGGAAAAAAAAGAACTTAGTTCTGAAACTGTGAACAAAGAAAATGTATGTGTAATGCTCCAATTCTTAAGTTGTTACTGAAACTATTCATAAAAAACAATTCTTGAGGTTCTTAGAAATATTTGTAGGTTTCAAACCTTGATAATACGTTTAAAAACAAAAAATTTGTACTTTTTATTTACACCATCAAGAATAAGATTGATCTATATCAAATTTACCAGTGATGAAAACACGACAACTCAAACTAGGGCATGACGGAAAATATTTTCATACTGTTTTCTGTTGTAAAATGGTTTAGATTACTGTAAATATCCGACACGTTAATTTCAATACGAACAACAATATCAAACTTTACATTCGTAACCATCAAGTTCATTACATTGTTGATTTACTTTCACTGTAGTGTGAACGTCTATAATATTAATAGTTTACCTGGAAGTAGATGACAATTCCAAACACCAGAATCGTTGCCATCAAGTTCATTACATTGTTGATTTACTTTCACTGTAGTGTGAACGTCTATAATATTAATAGTTTACCTGGAAGTAGATGACAATTCCAAACACCAGAATTGTTGCCATCAAGTTCATTACATTGTTAATTTACTTTCACTGTAGTGTGAACGTCTATAATATTAATAGTTTACCTGGAAGTAGATGACAATTCCAAACACCAGAATTGTTGCCATCAAATTCATCAAGTTTGGCAGGTTCTGACGGTAGAAAGCTTCTCTCAAGCCCCGAACTTTGTCTTGACGAGTAGCCAGTAGATGGAATAAAGCAATAATGGCTCCCTCAAACTCAGTACCTACATTTGAAAAACCCAATTTCATATTCTTACAGGTTCCAAAATATTGACAGTATTAATATATAATTAAGTAGTAATTGATAACAGGAATATATATTTTTTAATGGAGAATGGAACTGCTTTTATACATGTATTTCTTCAAATTTAATTTTCTTATTTTGGAAATGCAAGTTATTTTTGTATTGAGATAAAAAAAGAAATTTGAGAAAAATCAGCATATTTCACATACAAAGTAATTTGACCAAATCTAACTGTATTCTAAATAACGGTGAAATCCTTTGATAAAAGAACAATTCGCAGACCTCGTCCAGTGTTGACCGTTGCAGGACTAAAAGCCTTCCAAACTATGGTTTCACAGATGTTGGTGGCAATAAAGAGAGAAATACCAGAGCCGAGGCCATAACCTTTCTGTAACAACTCGTCAAGTAATAGAACAATCAGGAAAGCAACAACGAGCTGTAAAAGAACAGGATTAACTATCTAATTAGGAATATTTTTTCTAAACTCAATCACAAATATTTCTCAAAATCTTATATCATTAAGAACTTTTTGCATGATTTTACTCCGAGGAAGATTTATAAAGCTACACTATAATGTAATAACGAGTTTATAAATACATTAAACTGCTCAAGTTGTTTCTTAAAATAAATATTGTTTAAATCAGGTACTATTTATTTAATTTCTGTAAATTCACTCTTTCAAAACTCATATAACACATTTAATCTCAAAACAGCCAGGTGATTGTCTTATCACCCACAGTTCTACTTACATTTAACTGAATATAATTAAATATCTTGAAAAAGATATAACACAAAAATTAATTTTCAGTTTCATACAAGTTTCAAGTTATATCTATATATTTGTTTTTAATAAATTACAATTAACTTAATGATTTAATGAGCTTGAAATTACAAGTAAATGTTGAGACATGTTTTCTTGTGGGTGAGAAACATTCAATAAATATTTATTGAAAATTTTTTTTATCTTTCATAAATTAATACCACAACCAAGAAAATACAAGCTGGTTTGAAACTGATATAGAATCTAACTCGGTGTAAGTCTAAGCTCCAGAATTGAGAGAAAAAGTAAAAACTGCTAAATGAAACTATGAACAAAAGAATAAAAAGAGTAAAAGTTCAGCTTTATTTTTTCAACTACAGTCACTCCTAGGTTTTATCTCCAAGTACAAACACGATTACCTCATGCGTCCCTGAATGTGAGAAGACCAACCTGACTGTAGCAGTTTCCACGAGAAAGACCTCAACAATGTGAAGGTTTCTAATTTAACAAGCTCCAACAAGTGACTAGGGACCAACCTGACTGTAGCAGTTTCCATGAGAAAGACCTCAACAATGTGAAGGTTTCTAATTTAACAAGTGACTAGGATCAACCTGACTGTAGCAGTTTCCACGAGAAAGACCTCAACAATGTGAAGGTTTCTAATTTAACAAGCTCCAACAAGTGACTAGGATCAACCTGACTGTAGCAGTTTCCATGAGAAAGACCTCAACAATGTGAAGGTTTCT